CTTGGCCTTGGTCGTCTAGTTTGGATTTTGAGACAGAGTCCATTGCAAAGAATGTATCCATTTCCGATGAAATAACACATTAATGTTTTAATAATATTTAATAATACTGGACACAAATTAGTTCCGTCTCTTAAGAATCTTGTTAGTGAATCTTCAGAACTCACGGCTAACACGTTGTCAAATCTTGTTTTAACTGATTGTTTATAACTGACCATAGGATTGTTCAGAACTCTTTTGCAATGGTCGCGATGACCATTGACCGCAGCACATTTTAGTATGTTTTAGTAAGGCTGAATGTCCGACCTTTGCTGGCAGCTCCGAGGGAGACATGAGTTTCGTTACATCGTTTACGTTGATAAAAATGGAAGTAATGGTTACGTTGGCCTATGGTCGCATCACATTTAGATGTTTACGAACGCTGACTAAACTAGACGACCAAGGCCAACATCTTTCCGACTTACCTCCTCTGACAGAGCATAAACTTTGTATCCTCACTGTCTTGGTTCGTAAATTTTCCAGACTCACCAAAAACATTCCTTCTACCAAGGCTACTGTCCTAGATAAAATGTTTTGTAGCACTTCTGAACGTGTTTACGTATTAATTAAATCCTTTCGCTGAGGTAGATAGGTAAACGTTTTTTTGAAAGCCTAGTCTTCTGAAGTTCATAGGATTAATACAGCTGTCTCCCATGTCCTCTCCTTGGTCAGCTGCTTTCCGACAATCTTTGCATTCGCAGATAGAATCAATGTCCGCGTAAAAAATATATATTGATTGTCCACAATTATATCCAACCCTGGCAAAGTTATTTAAGCGTTGCCTATAAGAGAAATGTCTCCTAAGTCTATTGAAATTATTATCTATTTGTCCTGTGTTCAAGAATACTGTTCAATGCCCATCTTTATTGTTACTGATAGTTAATGAAAGGAATGAAAATGTTAATATCGAAAAAAATGCAGAACCTCGGAAAAAAAAGCCGATCTATTAGAAATCCGTATATCTGATGCAGACGACATGATTACAAAATGAGTATGAATACTGAAGAGGGTTCTGGATATTGGAAATAAAGTTATCAGCACTAGATATGTCTCATTGAAAAACCCAACATAAGCTAAGATTGAAGGATGTTGATGAGAGAAAAATACCAGGGCATTTTCTAGAACTCCAGATCGACAGTAATACCCATAATCTTTGGTATACCCTGGACCATAAATATGACCCTTATAAAGGCTTTGGAGAAGGTCTAAGAGAAAAAGGAGAAAATACTGGGGTCAGAAAAATGAATCAATACTGAGACAAGAAATGGCTATTATCGACATTTTTTGTCTCTACTTATGTCTTCAAGATCTGTTGTTGCCTTCCATCCGTATGGCTGATGCTAACCTCCAACAGAGCAACTCATTACGCCTTTTCAATCTAACATTTGCCACTGCTATGAATTGGAACGACTGCCAATTGCCAGTTCTGCTGCTAAGAATCTCGTGCTAAACATTTCTTCTCACCAGAAACTATTTTGAACGTTTATGCGTCTAACATTAAGCCGTCCATTTCTGCAACCTAGAGTCTGGTGTTTTTGCTATGTATTTAGAGAATATTAGCAAAAGCGAAAGAATTTTATCAATCCTGACTTGGCTTCAATCAATTTCGCACCGGTGCAACGTAGATTTTCTTTGCTTTTTCTGTAAATATTTTCATAGCAATGTTTCTAATGAACTTTCTTTTTTAGTACACCGACTTCCATCGGTGGATTTAATCTTATGATTAAATAGTCAGCTAAGTCTTAATATTTTTCTGTTGAAATTGTTAAGCATAACCGTAGTAATTATTCATTTAATTTCTTCTCTCCTGCTTCTTGCATTTGTAAATTTCTTCCGGCTTCTTGCTTTCCTCTTAACTGCTGTCTTGAATCATTTAAATCCAGCATCAACCGTTGTTGCATTCACATGCAAATCTCCACCTTTTAAAGAGCAGTTGGTACAGCTGGAGGCTAAACTAATCACAACCAAAGGTTGGGATTAGTATTCATTGAATATTAGCTCAGGCTTCAGGGGCCTTTCCTCCCAGGCAGTAACTCTCCCTCAGGAAGAATCTGGGTTTATTGGCCAGCGCCTGTGGCGTCCCCAAAAGGGAAAGTGCTGAAGGGGGCTTGGGAATTTTTGTGAAATATGGCCGTTAAACATACTTTAAACCTCGAACTTCTGCCACATCCAGTTGCTTTGTTGCCGCCCTTGGTAGATATCACTTACCTTTATCTTGTAGACGGAACTCTTAGAGAAATAGTGGAGAGTACTTTTAACTAATTGTAGTTTACAACAATCATTATCTTCCGTCTCAATGATTTCTGTTCTTTTATTCATCTTTCGACGTTTTTACAGTAAGGTTCATCCTATACAAGGCCAGGTTACCACTCTAGATAGAAGGTTACGTTAAGGAGTAGGAGAAGATAACATTTAAGATTATAGTGATCGGCGAAACATCCACTTGGAAGTCTGTTTAACAAGGCAGTGGTTCGCAGGAAGTAGCTGTTCGAGTGAAACTTAATTCTAGCCGATGGAATACGGAGGGAATATGGTGGTTTGCTACTAAGTGGAATGACGGGTCCTAGACGTAAAGGTTACACATAGTGGAACCAAGGAATGTACTTCGTCCGAGCGCTTCCATTGGAAGCGAGAGAGCAGTAAGAGTCTCACCACATCCCGCCAGTGAGAGAGGTTGGAGGATGGAAAATAATTCTTCTACAACAAGCACTCAGAGACGCTTTTCAAGTCTGGAAAGTGAGGACCAGACAGCTCCTGTTCAAATATGGCCACAGTACTCCATGTTCGTCCTGATCTGGCTCAGTAAAATTTTGTCGTTGTCCTTCCCTCTCAGTAAGTGCCTGCATCCTAGTGGCTTTATCGCCTTACTTGGAGTGAAATTATTAAAACAAAAAGATGATACACGCTTTTTAAAATTAAAGATTTGAATATTGGAGATTTAGATGGACGAGTATTTACTCACTGTTTGGCGATTAACCGATGCCCCTAACATAAAGATGAATAACAACATAGCAGCAGCAATAAAAAAAAAAGTAATAAATGCTCTGAGATTACATCAAGCATGGCTCTTATGGCTTCTTATTTTAAATGATTGGAGGTTTTAACATGCACAATATTTCTGTGCAAAGATCCCGATCAGTAAGATTGGCCTTAAGCAGTTTTACATATGTCCCATAGGGGTCGGACGCTTTGTGCATTTCTGTCCTCGAGGATGAGTAACGGGGAATCGTTATGACCTGGTCTCGAGAGGTTTTTTTTTAAGTTTTAAGGATGAAGCAACCAAGGCGACTTAGTAGTCTTATCTAGATACACAGAGATACTTAAAATCGAATACCATTACTCACATGAAGGTATTTCTAACAGGACCCCACCTCTTTTATCAAGAGGTCATCAGATTGTGTCCGTTTGGCTGTGATGTATGAACCTTGTATATTGGGTGTCACGATGGGCATATTGAACTTCGTGTATTTGTACGCCAATATCACTTTTTAACTTACTGCTCACCCACTCAAAAAAAAAAAAAAAACACACACACAAGAAGAAGAAGAAGAACAAGAAGAACAAGAAGAACAAGAAGAAGAAGTTTTAACTTGTGAAAATCTCACGATTTTACTTTTTAATATTCTGGTGAATTCTAAAGTTAATGTCTGAAGAAGCTCATGGCGAGTTCTACGACAATAAAATAACCGTAAAAATTCCCCTATCGCATCGTTAAATATTTGAGCTTAACAACTTTAACAATAACAGTCATAAATATGAAAACTGGTCGTTATCTTAAGAAGTGGGTATAAATGAAAAAATTTGAAATTGAAAACTTTTTCCATTTCACTGAAACAGACGTTAAACACTTCTATCTACACTTCTTTCTTTCTTTCTTTCTCTCACGGAAAACAATAGTGTCTTTTCTCCTCTTTCTTCGCTATCAAAACGGAATAGTTTATTAATTATGTGGTATTGGCAGGGTGTAACGGCCGTGCAAACTAACCAAGGAAGGGACAAGCAGAATTAGAAGAGGATAGCAGCATGCAGAGTAAAAGTACTTCCATTAACAATGATATTTATATATGTAGACAAAAAGCCATAAAAATAACTTATCCGTAACATTAGTAATAAAACGCCTAGTTTTTTATTACTAGTTTTATTATCAAATACGTGGGGAAAATGAAAGGCGAATAATAAAATACGAATCGTTTAGAAAGAGCAAGAAAAAAGACATATAGAGTAAGTAAATTAAATAAAATAGATATAGAGGGTGCGATTGGTAAACTGTCACAATAATACATTTTTAATTTCGCGCATGTGCGTTGTTTCTGATTTTGTCAATTGCACAGGATAATAGAGTCTGTTGGGCACCATCTGTAAGTAAAAGCGCACCATAACGCAATTCACTCCGCCATAAATTTTGAAACGGCATGCTGTACTGCTTGGCATTCGCACGGAAGCACCAGTACGAACATTTCAGAGTGAAATTTAAAGCCGGAGAACCATGTTATGACTGTCAGACAATTTCTGCGATCACATCACCCCTTACATCTGGCCACCTAACTTCCCAGACTTGCAACCCCCTTGATTATTATGTGCAGCTGAACGAGAGACTAGCAAAACTCTTTGTAACACCAAAGAAGAAATAAAGGCAAGGATTATGTCAGCATTGACCAGCTTAAACAAGGAGACCGGCCAGAAGAGTTGAAAGAGATTCCGAAGTCGTCTGGAGGGCGTCGTTAATACCAATGGCGATTTTATTGAATAAATTTATTATTTTGTAATTAAAGATATTTTGGTAAATATATCTGTTAAGATAAGATGTTTGTGTTATTTTAATTTTTGCGTAATTTATCGCACACTGTAATACACACACACAAACATATATATATATATATATATATATATATATATATATATATATATATATATATATATAGAGAGAGAGAGAGAGAGAGAATTGAGAAAAGGGTGGTGGTGACGTGTTCTGATGTGTTAAGGCAAGGGGAGAGGACAAACCATAAAAAGAGAGAATTACAAATAAAAAGGGACAGAGAAAGAAAAGATTAGAAACGACAAAGGGATTACAAAGAAAGAAAGAAAGGGAAAAAGAAAGAAAGGAAAAAAGAAAGAAAGGAAAAAGAAAGAAAGAAAGAAAGAAAGTTAAGTGATGGAGTAAAACTAATATAGAAAGAGAGATAACGAAGATAAGAAAAGAGGAAAAAGTATAGGAAGAACAGAAATAAAAGCGGGTGACGAAGAGGGGGAGAATGGGGAGGAGGAGTGCAAGAAGAATGAGGAAGAGGAAGAAGAAAGAAAAATATGTTGAAGCAGATAACGAGGCAGATAGATACAGTAGGTTTGACAATTTTAGAAAAAATGAAGCATCCAGAAAGAGAAAAATGTAGACAAAGTGAGAGAGAGAGAGAGAAAGCAAGAGAGAGAGAGAGAGAGAGAAAGAGAGACCTACACGGATAGATGAAGACACAAAGAGATAGGGAGAAAGGCAGAAAAAGAAAAAGAGAAACATAGACAGAAAGAGAGAGAGAGAGAAAGAGAGAGAGATGCTGTAATATAGAGAGGGGAAAACATTGAGATATATATATACAGAGAGAGAAAATGCAATTTTGACAGTTAAAAAAGGTGAAGCAGCCCGAATGAGGAAAATGCAGAGATAGGTAGATTGAGAGAAAGAGAGGGGGGAGAAAGAGAGAGAGACAGAGGTGATGGAGATAGAGAGAAAGGGAAAGCTACATAGGCTGAGAGATGTAGACACAAAAAGATAGAGAAAATTCAGAGAGAGAAATACAGAGAAAGAAAGAGAGATATGCAACGAGAGAGAGAGAGAGAGAGAGAGAGAGATGTAAAGACAGAACGAGATTGGGACTCAAATAGAGCGGGAAATGTAGAGAGAGAAAGAAGTGAGAGTGACACAAAGAGAAGTTGCAGAGAAAGCAGCAAAAACAAAGAGAGAAACGGGGAGAGAGAGAGAGAGAGACGCACAGTTTAGGATAATGAAACACAGAGAGTGAGAGACGCGCAGCGAGAAAGAAAGAAATACAGAAAGAAAAAGAGACACACAGTATGAGTTAAAAAATACAGGGACTAAAAGACGCACAGAAAGAGAGAGAGAAAGACGCACACTGAGATGTAAAAGAAAAGTTGGATGAGACCGAAAGAAGCACAGAAAGAAGGACAGAAAAAGAAACAGAAGAGAGAGAGAGAGAAAGAAGAGACGTACAGTTGAGATAAAAAATGCAGAACGTGGAGACGCACAGAAAAGAAAGAGAGAAATAAAAAAAAGGAGAGAAGAGTGAGATGTGAAAGATGCCCTAAAGGGAGAAATATTATAATAAATAGAATATATATATATATATATATATATATATATATATATATATATATGAAGAGAGAGAGAGAGAGAGAGAGAGATGTGTTTTTGAAAGATAAAGAAACGCAGAGTATGAGAGACGCACAAAAGAGTGAAATACAGAGAGAGATATGGAGAAGAGAGAGAGAGACGCTCAATGAGATATAAAGAAAAGATAGTGAAAAGATGCAGAAATAAATACAGAGGGACATAAAAGAGAGAGAGAGAAAGCGTAGATGGAGAGAGAGAGAGAAAGAGAAAGTGTGAAACATACAGTGAGAGATAAAGAAAAGCGAGAGTGTTAGAGACGCACAGAAAGAAAGAGAGAAATAGAGAGAGACACAGAGAGAGAGAGAGAAGCGTAGATGGAGAGAGACAGACAGAGAGAACGAAAATGACAAAGACAGTGTGAGAGGAGTGATCGTCAAATATTCAGGTCAAAGCAGTCTCATCATTGAAACGTAACAAAAGAAGCTTCGTTGAAATCGCCTCATTAGTTATTTTTTATTCTTTTTTATTTTATTGAATGTAATTTTCTCTTTTTTCTTGAATTGTTCGTAACATTTCGCTCAATTTCACCGACTTAACTATAATGATCAAGACAAATTCTGCTTAGGCTTCGCCTATTTGATCTTCCGAATCACTGACTCAAAGACACTAAAATAATAGAAAAGAAAACTGCTTTTTCCAAAAAGCAAAGCTATCCTCAGTGAAGGCTGAAGATGAAATTAAATTTCTGTCCAAGTGAAAAGTGGCCATTTCCTCACAGGCAGTTTCTACCATTGATTTCCTCTTGACCTTGAAAAATGTTCAGTTTTAAGCTCAGTATAGAAGACTAACAATCTATTGTAAGAAGTTAAAATATATGGTCGTTAGCAAAAAGGAGGGCCCAAGTTGAGATCTACAACTTGGAGACGTCAAAATCAAGTAATTGCAGGAATTTAAATACCTCGTAAGTGATTTAACTGACAACAGAAAATGTGACACCAAAAATCGAAAATCACATTTGAATTGGGAAAGATGCCTTCGAAAACCTAAGTAAAGTATTAAAAAGCAAAAAAGAGTGCTGAAGTGCATAGTAATATCAATGTCAAAAGTGAGAAAAAAAAGAAATACCCATCAATTATAAAAAAAAAGACAGAATATATGATCATTAGCAAAACGGTCAGTCCAAAATCCGAGTTACTAATTGGAGAGGTCAAAAGTCAAACAAGTACAGGAATTTATGTATCTGGGAAGTGTTTTAACCGTTTGATCCCAGCGTTCCTGAACAATTACATCCCTTCTGCCTGAGCTCCTGAGTCAAAATTCACAAATAATTGGTATGTAATGTTTCACGGTAGATATAAAAATAGTTACAAATGTTTACCCACCGTTCAGACGGTGGCTGGGCATTAAGTCATTTTTCTCTACCACCGGTAAAGCGGTGGTCAGGTCAGGTCAGGTCAGACCAGAGGGTTAACAGAGGACGGACAATCATGAAAACAGAAATCAGAAGGCGCATTAGAACAGCAAAAGATGCCTTCCAAAAGCCAAACAATGTACTAACAAAGAGGAAAATTACGTTCAGAACAAAGAGAATTGTTATATATCAATGCTGCGATATGACAGTGAATGCTGAATAATTTCATCGCAGATGAAAAGGAATGGGGAACTTTTAATGTAAATGGCAAAAAGAATCAGAAACCGACAGTTGAAATTTCTGAGACACATAAGGAGAAAAGAGGGCTTGGTGAATTTGACACTTACAGGACACATTAAAATCAATAGACACAAAGGGAAACGTAGAGTTACGTACCTAAGAAGGTTGTTGTAAATAGATGACATACCAGGTAATGGAAAGGATAGTAAAGAGACATTACAGAGACTTATAGGGAAAGGAAGATTGTACTGCGCCAGTTTTCTAAGTTAAGAAGAACTGAGTGTCTATTTTCAAAACCATCAACCAGTTTTATTTTGATAACACAACCAAGTATAATCCAATAGTTTTAAAAAAAAAACCTCGGAAAATTCCAGTAAGATATCTTTAATCGTTTCTAAAATACAACGGTTCAAAGCTTAATCTAACAATTGGACAATTTTTTGTTGCAAGATTTAGACAATTTTGCTGTTACACCCGGTACACAGATCAGTGCGTGTACAGGTTCCATAAATAATGGATATACCAATTGTACAAAGTATAGTCGTTAGCGGGACGGGCTGCCCTACAATGCGAGCTACTTATTGGAGATGTCAAAATGAAACAAATAAAGGAATTTAATTATCTGGGAAATGTTTTAACAGACGTCGGAAAATATCGAAACAAAAATCTGAAGGCACATTAGAACAGCGAAAGATGCCTTCCAAAAGCTAAACAATGCACTGACAAACAGGAAAATTACGTTCGGAACAAAGAGAATTGTTATATATCAATCCTCCTATATGACAGTGAATGCTGAATAATTTCATCACAGACGAAAAGGAATGAGGAACTGTTAATGTAAATGGAAAAAAGGGCCGATTGTAGTTAGAATCAGGAAGAGAAATTTGAAATTTCTGAGATACATATAGAGGAAAGAGGGCTTGGTGAATTTGACACTTACATGACATATTAAAGTCAATAGACACAAAAAGAAACGTAGATTTACGTACCTAAGAAGGTTGTTGCAAATAGATGGCATACCAGGGAATGGAAGGAATAGTAAGGAGACATTATAGAGATTTATAGGGAAAGGAAGATTGTAGTGCTTCATCAATGCACACGTGTTCAGTGGGAAGAATCTTGAGGTAGCAAAAATGTAGTTCCTATCATTAGTCCAACCATATAATTGACGGAAACCCTCTGTATATGCGTTTCAATTTACTCTCGATTAAAACTAAATATAGGCCCAATAGGTAATAGAAGAGCAAATGATAACATAATAGTACAATAGTACAATAATATTACATATATATATGTTATATATATATAGATATTTATATATATATATATATATTTATATATATTATAGATGTTATATATATATATATATATATATATATATATATATATATATATATATATATATATAGATGTTTTTATATATATATATATATATATATATATATATATATATATATATATATATATATAAGAGGAAATGATCATATACCAGGTGTAACAGCAAAATATTGTTCAAATCGTGTGACCGCATGGGATAATTATCCATCCCATAAAAATTTCCAATATCTAAACAACCACCAAACTAATTGAGTTTCTTTTTTTCCAGGTATTAAGATAAGACGTTTAGCCATCTTGACACCATTTGTTGTAAGAATCTCTAAAAAAAAACCTTTCGAGTTATCCAGCTTGAAAGAGAGCCGGTTAAAATCGTTTTGTGTCAACTTTCGGTAGACAAGGTCGAATTTACAGCTTATAAACTTCAATCTTCTTTGTGGCCCAGCGGTAAGGCACGTCAGCGTAAATGACGGTTCCGTATAGGATGCAGGCTCGAATCCTGTCAAAGAACGAATATTTTCTATGAAAATTTCTCGGACATTCAGGCCGGTAAATGTTATTTAATACTGTTTATCATAAACAGAGCATTTGCTTAAATACTTGTATCTATAAATAACAACGTTAAACATAAAAAATATCTTTAATGAATAAATTGTCGGACCTTGTCCATTTCTTAATATATATATATATATATATAGATCACTACGTGTACAGGTTCCATAAATACGGGATATATCAACTGTGAAAAGTATAGTCGTTAGAAAATTGGGCAGCCCAAAATGCGAGCTATTAATTGAAGATGCTAAAATCAAACAGGAAAACATCGTTCGAAACAAAGAAAAGAGAATTGCTATATAATATCAATTCTATTATATGACACTGAATGCTGAACAATTTCATCACAGACGAAAACGAGGCTTGCGGTTCTACAGAAGAATGCTGAGAATAGCATGGCCAGAACAATGTGAGCGACGATGAATCTTTAACGAAAATGGAGAGAAAAGTACAGGGTGTTGATGCTAGACAAAGAAAGGAAACTGCTGGTATTTCTAGTAAACGTAGTAAAAGAAAGCAAGAAGAAAGGACTAACTATCAATTGTAAGAAGACAGAATCGATGGTCGTTAGCAAGAGAAATAAACCAAGATAGGAGCTACTAATTGGGGATGTCAAAATCAAGCAAGTACAGAAATTTAACTATATGGAAACTGCTATAAAAGAAACCGGAAAATGTGGCAGTGAGGTCCGAAGGCGCATTAGGATAACAAAAACGCCTTCCAAAATCAACACATTTATGAACAAGGAAAATTTCGTTAGAAACGAAGTAATGAGTGCTGAACCGCTATGTAATATCAACCGTCGTATATGGCAATGAATGTTCGACAATTTTCTCACAGACGAAGAAGAGGCTTGATGCAACATAAATGTGGTTCTACAGAAGGATGCTGAGAATATCATGAGCGAAACGTGAACGATGGGGAAACTGTAAGGAAAATGGGCATGAAAAAGATACTTTTACTCAGGATCAAAACGAGGCAGTTAAAATTTGACGCATAATTAGAAAAAAAGGCTTGGAGAATTTGACACTCCTATCAATGGAAGCGGTGAGTAACCTAACTAGCAAACTTATGTAAATGGATATGGGAACATAGAGAAGGAGTGATAATAAAGGGACACATTTTTTTTAGTAAAAAAGTATAGGAAGTGGGGAAGAGACATGATCACCCACGTCCTGAATGGACAGGATGGCGCATAGAAAAGGGAATTGAAAAGCCGTGTCTGAAGTTCGGCTACTGTTGCATATTTTCATTACACACTTCAAGCTGGATATCGCCTATGAAATCTATATAACAATACATATCAGGCGAGACTTTTTAAAAACAACTCGAGTCTTCAGGTTAATATTTTTCCAGCATCTACGGTGTTTTTACTTTGTGAAGTAATTTGTCTTTATTTGGTAAAGCTCTCTGTTTAGGAATTTTGTAGCGTCAGTTTCTAGGGTCCGATAAAGGATTGTCTTCTTTACGACTTTTGCAATTCGAGTTTTACAATGCGGAGGTTGGGTCGGCACGGTCATCGATTGGTAAGAATACCTCATAGGCATGGTATTTTGACAGTGATGGGTTGCCTTCGTCTAAATCTTGGATATAAATCCAAGATGACACTTCGAGGTGGTAAGAACAGGTTCCCAGCTGTGGGTAAATAATGAGCTCACTAACAAAAACCAGCAGCTCATTTTTATCATGAAATGAGCAACAATACATTTTTATAGCAAAATGGCAATCAATACAATTGTGATGATACGATCCTGCACATCACTTCACAAACTGTGATGACATCCAAGGTCGGCTGTATGCGTATACACCGGGTTCTCTGTATTAGGTTGTTTCAATATCAGGACCCTGGTCGAGGTCAACAAGGAATAAAGACAATTGGTTTTCAAGACACTGGTT